AGTTGGAATAAGAGTTGCACTCAATAACTGTCCACCTGGTTTCCAACTAAATTCTGCTATGGGAGCCTGTGACTGTTTACAAAACTTTAAAAAAATTGTCAACCATTATTCAAATGAAAAAGAGTTGCAGTGCAATATCAATGATTTGAATTTTACCAGACCATATAAAAATTTATGGGCTGGCTTGGACAAAAATGGTTCACTTCATTATAGCTTAAACTGTCCTCATGGCTACTGTAGCATTCACAGTCATCATGACAAACTAACATTTAATGATACTGGCTCATTTGTTGCTTCATCATCAACAAAAGATTCAGAACCATTGTGTCATGGTTCACGAACAGGAGAACTTTGTGGGAAATGCATCTCTAATTATAGTGTAGTGTTTGGCTCTACCATCTGTCTGATGTGTACCAATAAATTATGGCTTGTCTCATCAATAATTTATATAATAACTGGTCCTCTCATTGTATTCCTATTGTATACACTAAACTTAACATTATCAACTGGTACTCTTAACAGCATCATATTCTTTGCACAAGTAGCTAATGCTATGGTAGCAGGATATTTGAAAATACCATGCAGTGACTGTGGTAGTGTATCATATTACTTCATTCGATTTTCTAGTGCCTTCATATCTTGGTTGAACCTTAACCTTGGTTTTCCACTCTGTCTTTATAATGGAATGACTGAAATGCATAAGGCTGGTCTGAATTTATTTTTTCCTATTTACTTGATCTTCATTATTGGCTTTCTTGTTATTTTAAGTAAATTTTCATCAAAAGTTTCTAATCGATTGTCTAAGTCATCAGTTCAAGTTCTTGTGACAGTTGTTCATCTTTCATTCACTCAATTACTTCAAGCAATACTCAATGTGTTTAAACCAGCAGATGTCTACATTGAAAATGAAACTTCATATCATATAAAAACAGTTTGGTATTATGATGGAACAACAGCATATGCTAGCCCAGAGCATCAATGGTTGATGATAATCACTTCAGTTGTAGTGGGATTTATATTAATTCCATATATGGTAGTG